CACAGCACTCTAGCCTGAGCAACAGAGTAAGAATCTGTCTCAAAGTAAAAAAAAAAGATCTATATGATGAAAACTTTAAAATGTTCCTCCTCAGGAACACAAGGAAAGACTTAAACAAATGGAAAGGTCTACTATATTCTTGGATAGGATAACAATCACAAAGCATCAATTCTACCTACATTAATCTACACATTTAGAAGAGCATACACCTTTGATTATATTGGCAAATGTAATTGGCAAATTACACTTCATAGGGTCACTTAATAGGTTAAAACAGAAGCCCAGAGGCAGTAGGATAATGTTTGTTAGTTGAAAGGAAGTGTCTTTTTTATGGGGTTAGAGACAAAATAGCACATGCAAAGGTCTGGGGTGGGAAATACTTGTCACATCCAAGGAACCAGAGGGTGGACTCAGGTAAGTAAGGAAGAGAGGGTGTGCGATGAGTTTGGAAAGGTACTGAGTTCAGAGGTAGGGAACAGAAAGGGGGTCAGTGGAGGCTGGGGGTGCAGGCCACACTGTCCAGAAGGCTGCTCAGGAGGTGGGGATAGGGCGCTAGCCCATAGTTCCTTAGCAAGGGAGGTATTCAGCCCCACCCTGCCTCCCTCTAATAGGGCAGCACAGGGATTCTTCGTTGCTGTGCTCAGGGAAGTGCTGTATACAAACTAGACCTTCATGCATGTCCCCTGAAGTCACTGGGCTGAGGGACTGTGCTCCTTCCCAGCTGCCATGGCTCTCACTGGAAGTTGGTGACTCAGCAGTACATTTTCAAGCCCTTCACAAGGTATATGTGGTTCTTTTCACAAACCATCCCCACTCTTAATACCAACAGGGGATGAACTTGGCACTTGGCACTGTCTATCCAGAAGTGGGGAGGGATGAGGGAGGGAAGCTCCACTCTCCCCAGGGCCGCCCGCCTCCCGCAGTGATCTGCTGCACACGGGTGAGACAGCCAGCTTCTCACAAGGGTGCAGTTCGTGTTTAGGAACGGAAGAGAGCTAACCTGATATTGGAACAGGACCATGACCTCATTACCCAGTATCCCACCCAACAGAGTTAACGAATGCTATAGTGGCATAGACTTAGGAAGCCCCGACTTAATGCACCTAATTAATGCCTGATTTTCCTGTCCCCAAGAAGCTTGGGCCCTGGGAAGGTGACTTAGAGTCCATTTCCTGGAACAAAGGCACACAGCAGTCCTGCTTCATGAGCTGCCAAGTAAAACTGTCAGAATCTATTTAAGAAAACCAGGCCAGTCTGGCTGTGTTTACTGAGAATGGCCATCTGAGACAAAGAGGAAAAGAGTTTTCACTCAATTCATTCACAGATATTTATTGAGTGCCTATCATGTGCCAAATCCGGTTCTAGGCGGTAGGGATACAGAAATGAGCCACATAGACACAACACCTGTTCTCCCCAGAAAGCTTACATTCTGGTAGGGGGAGGTAGACAAGTACATATACAGACAAAACAGTAAGTATTGATATTATCAGAAGGTGGAAAGTGTTTAAGTTCCAGTTAGCATAGAGAAATGTCTATAGGACACAAATAAGGTGTTGGTAGAGAGCATGGATAAGGCGGAGGCCCCCATGATAGGTAGAACTCTCAGTGAGCTTCTGAGAAGGTGACATCTAAGTTGAATCCTTGAAGATGAGGAGCCAGTCATGTGAACAGTGAAGGGGAGGGAGAAACACTACAAAGGCCTCAGTCAGGCAAGAACTTGGAATGTTCAAAAAACAGAAAGAAGGTCAATTTCTGCAGTGTGCTGAGTTCGGGGAGAGATCCTAAGCACTGGCTGGGGAGGCAGGCATGCTGTGATAAGACTGTGGATCTTTCCTAACTCACTGTGCTCATTATAGCACAATTATCTATTCTACTGTGACACTGCCCACTCGGAACTCACAGGCTAACTCAGCTGCCTGGCCTCGGCTCAGAGAGAGGACATCTTAAGAAGGTCCCAAGAATGGCCAAAACAGAAGTGAAGTTTATGCTCAAAGGCTCATACACAACACTCCTCGGAGTCATTTCCCTTCATGTTAAATATGCTTTCAATACATTTCCTCGTCTGGTTTCCAAGCCCACCGCAGATTACTAGCATCAGATTAGAAGGGGAGGGAAAGGCAGGCACTCTGTTCAGTTGACATTTTAATTCAATGAGTCATTTTGCTTGGAAATCACCTTCCTCCATGACTGACGTCATCTGATACTGCAAGGACTCCAGGAATCACCCGAACACCCTTATGACATTTATATTTACTGTACCATGGTGTAGTGGGAAGAGCACTGTTACCACATTTGTAGTCCTGGGTGCAAGTCCTGATTCCATCATTCATAATTTTGTATCCCCATTAGATTGTGAATGACTTAAGGACATGAGTCTTAGTCATCTTTCAATTTACCCATAACCCATGCCCCTACTCCAAGCCTAGGATAATGCCAGTCATATAGTAGTGCCTGATGAATGGATCTCAAATGAATAAATGAAAATATGATCTTAGATAAGTTACCCTCTCTGATCTTCAATTGCCTCATCTGTAGAAGGAAATACTATCACCACCGTTAAGAGCTTGCATGGAATGCAAAATAACATAAGTAGAAAGCATCATGTTAAGTATAATGTACAATATAGCAAGGTATTTTGCTACTCGGGGCTGAATCAGCCAGAGGTGTCCTTCAAAGGGTCAAGGGATCCTTTAGGTCTTTGTGTCTACCACTTGAGTAGTTGCCACTAGATGGCAATATTTTCTTAAGGCATGTTTAGTCATTTTTGAGTCTACCCCAGTGGTCTTCACTCCAGGGGTTCTCATGCATCTGGGAGAAGAAAATGCCTTCCAAGAGGTTCTTAATGATGGATAGCTTTGAGGAAATCAACTTCCCAATCTTCAATGTCTATGCATTCTCTTTCCTAAAACTGACCTGCTTGGGAAAGCGCCCATGTTCACAATAGCTCTTTAACTTTTCAAAAGGAAAGGCATACCCATTATTCATTCCAAATCTGATTTTATGGCAACATCAGGTGAATAATATCCACCAAGGCATCAAAGAAGGGGGAAATCTCCTTCAACAATTAACAAGGAACCAGTCTTTCCCGATCTTTTATAATAAACTTGGCTTTAAGTATGGGGTACTTTGTCTCATGTTGTCATGGCCTGAATAAAATGTATGGTACAGTAGGGTGGCAGGAATAAGCTTTTTCCATCTCCTAAGAATTATCAAAGAATATATTGATATTAGGGAAGTAAAGCCCAGAGAGCATCTGTTTAAAAAATGCTAGAAAATAGTGTTTTCACATTTGTAAATAAAATTATTTTCAGTTATTCTCAATACTCATCTCAAATTCATGTCATTAGCAGGAAAGAAATATGTTGGAATGTCCAAAGTAGTTGTTTATTTTAAATGTAACTAAAATATTTCCTAGGATCACCAAATTGTTATGACACACTAGCTAAAATAAAGCAATAAAGCTTTTACATGATCTCTTTAAAATTTGGTGTGTTTTATTCAATAAGGTAGTTATAAAATATTTGTATCAAATCATATGATAAAACATTTATTCCAATATTAGTCAATTCTTATCTTTATTTTATTTTATTTTTTATTATTTTTTACTTCATTTAGGTGCCTTATTTATTTTATTAATATCTATCTTATTCTATTCAATATTGTCTATGTCCCACTAACAAAAACACAATTATATATTACATGTTATATCAATTAATTTTTGTAGTCTATATCTTTCCATTTAATTAAATCCATAGGAAAAGTTTTATTATGATATCTAATTAAATTAATCCTTCTCTTTCTGATTTTTATACCTGAGACATATTTATTTGTTATCAGAAGCTGAACCTCAGTGTTTGATATATGTACATAAGATACATTTTACCTAAGGAATACCATTATTTGTATTATATTCCTTGTTCTACAAATAGCTTATAATTTGACTACTCATGACATTGCATTACTATAAATTAGGTAATAAAGAACAGTATATTGATTTATTACTTTTCATATAACTTTAAAAATTGATAAATGAATAAAATAGATAACTGAATTATATTAAATCTACCTCAACTTAATCTTGCCACTTTAAATCCTTAAAACAGCCCTTAAAATAGGTACCATTATTTCCCCACAGAGAGTTAGGTAATTTATCCATAGTCACAAAAGAAAAAAAAGCCATTGCATAAGTCGATATGGATGTCACAAAAACCATGTATTAAAACTTATTACAGGCCGGGCACGGTGGCTCACGCCTGTAATCCTAGCACTCTGGGAGGCCAAGGCGGGTGGATCGCTTCAAGATCAGGAGTACGAAACCAGCCTGAGCAAGAGCGAGACCCCCATCTCTACTATAAATAGAAAGAAATTATTTGGCCAACTAATATATATAGAAAACATTAGCCAGGAATGGTGGCGCATGCCTGTAGTCCCAGCTTCTTGGGAGGCTGAGGCGTAGGATTGCTTGAGCCCAGGAGTTTGAGGTTGCTGTGAGCTAGGCTGACGCCATGGCACTCACTCTAGCCTGGGCAACAAAGTGAGACACTGTCTCAAAAAAAAAAAAAAATAGAAAAATTAGCCTGGCAAGGTGGCACACACCTGTAGTCCCAGCTACATGGGAGGCTGAGGCAAGAGGATCACTGGACCCCAGGAGTTTGAGGTTGTAGTGATCTAGAGAGCAAGATCCTGCCTCAGAAATAAAAACAAAAACAAAAAACTTGGGCTAGTTGTACTTTATGTATTCCAATTGCAAGGGTTAAAATTTGTTATTCTAGTATGTTTATCTAAGTTAAAGTCACTTGGAAAACAACAGGTGCAAAGAAGATGACCTGACCTTTATGCTGTTTCCTGTTTCTTAAAAGTAGAAAATTAAATTCCCGTGTGAAAGACGCCCTCCCTATACTGCACAAGAAAGATGCAACATTCTTATCTTCAAGGACAAGAAAGTTGAGGCTGAAGGAATCCTGTACCAACAAGCCTTGCTAAACTAACCCTTATCTTCCTAGCTACTTCTCTACCCAATTAAGGACCCTAGCCCAAACCCCTTGACCTTATCATATTTTCACAGTTTACTATCCTTTGTCCAATTCAGTATGTAAATAACGAACTCCAGTCTTTCATTCTTTAAGAGGGCTCATGTGCCATGTACAATGGGTAAAGTATTATGCTTTACTCCTGCTGATCTATGTTGTGCCAATTTAATTCTTGGCCACGGCTGGGACCCTAATAGAATGGAGGTGGAATTCGCCACACTCGCGACAGTTTCTGGCGATGAGGATATAATCCTCTGGGGCAGGGACATCCCACTCACGCCGGAGCTTGCAGATGGGATACTGAGAGACCTGACAAAAGCCGCAGAAGGTAGGAATTCTTACGAAGTCAGCTCTCCTGGATCTCTGTAGTGCTTGGTTGAGAGAAGAAGGTAAAAAAAAAAAATGTTTCTTGTCCCTTCCTTTCTAGATTTGGATTGGCAGGAGAAAAACATATATAAGACTTGGTTCTTTGAATTGTGACTCTTGTGAATTTGGTCCTGAGTACCCATTGGTCACTGATCCCCAGCCTCCAGGAATGGTCCTTGGTTTCCTAGTCTCTGTGTTTAGTGTGGTTTGTCTTTAAGAAGGAAAATCGTAAGAGTCTCCTTTTGTCTTGTTTCATGTCTTGACAGCTTGGCTTTGTGGGCAGTGAGGATATTCTCTCTGGTCTCTGCCGGCCAGGGGATGCAAGTTGTTGGGCTTTCCTCAGGCGGCCAGCAAGCTGGCTGAGAGCCTGAAACAGAAAGTGCCTTTGTCCCACGGTGCCAGCTCTCAGGGGAGTTTGTCTTAACAGTCTCCATCTTTCATTACCTTGTAACCAGAAGGGTCTTTGATTTCTTGTGTTACAGCAAGTGTTACAGCAGGTGGTCCCGAGGACAAACTGAGTGGCACATGAGGAGTCAAGAATCAAAGTTTATTTGCCTGCAGGCTCAGCCCCAATTTTTCTAATTCTAAGCCCCAATTTTTCCCACTTTTATTAAGTTGCGGTGGCCCGAGGGGTGGGGTCTCAGGTGGCTAAGGTAACAGGTTAGTTGATATGTCAGGTAATAGGTTAGTATTATGTTGATGAGGCAGGTAATAGATTAGTTGATGGGCCAGGTAATAGGTTAGTATTATGTTGATGTGGCAGGTAATAGATTAGTTGCTGGGCCAGGTAATAGGTTAGTTGATGGGCCAGGTAATAGGTTAGTATTATGTTGATACAGGTCTTCTGTGAGGGGTAGGGTCTCAGGTGGCTGATGTGCAAATAATAGATGGGGGTTTTCCTTATCATTAGGCTGTCTCTGGGAGAAACTTTGGGTCTTGAGGAGGAGTGCATCTTTTGCACCTTCTTTTGGGATATCTCTTGCATTCACAGTTAAGCAATCTTATTCACTATAGGCCATAAAAAGGCTTATTTGGTTTGAATCACAAAAGAAGTAGGTATACCTTTGGAGATTTGGACTTTTGTCTCTAAAAGTTTTATTTATTATTTTTTTAGAGAGTTGTCATCCTAAACAACCATTCTATTGGTACCTATGAGTAGATTTGACTTAAAGAAAATAAGTATTTACATATATTAATAAATTAAGCATTTTCCAGCTGAGTGAAGTGGTTCACACCTGTAATCCTAGCACTCAAGGAGGTTGAGGTGGGAGGATTGTTTGAGGTCAGGAGTTTGAGACCAGCCTGAGCAAGAACAAGACCCCGTTTCTACAAAAAATAGAAAAATTAGCCGGGCGTAGTAACATGCTCCTGTAGTTCTGGCTACTCAGGAGGCTGAGGCAGGAGGATCGCTTGATCCCAGGATTTTGAGATGCAGTGAGCTATGATGACATCACTGTGCTATAGCCAGGGTAACAGAGTAAGACCCTGTTTCAAAAGAAAAAGTGTCTTTTGAAGAGCAAAAGTTTTAAATTTTTTATAAATCCATGTAGTAATTTGAATAGTGTCCCCCCAAATTCATGTCCACCAAGAACCTCAGAAAGTGGCCTTATTTGGAAATAGGGTCTTTGTAGATATAATGAAGGTGAGAATTGAAATGAGATCATACTGGATTAGCCCTAAATCTAATGATACTTTCCTTATAAGAGTCAGCAAAGGACACAAGAGAGACACAGAGAATAGTGCCCTGTGTAAATGGAGGCAGATATTGCAGTTATGCCTCCACAAGCCAAGGAACACCAGGAGCCACCAAAAGCTGGAAGAAAAAAGGCTAGATTCTCCCCTAGAGCCTCCAAGGGGAACATGGCCCTGCCCACACTTTGATTTCAGACTCTGGCCTCTGGACCTCAGAGAGAATGTATCTGTTGTTTTAAGATTACTCCCTACTTGGAGTAAGTTATTACAGCAGCCCTAGGAAACTAATACAGTCCAGTTTATCTTTTTTTTCTTTTATAGTTCTTGCTCTTTGGATTTTATTTAAGAAGCTTTTGCCTTATACAAGATCACTAAGATTATCCTTTTCTCTAGCAGTTTTATAGTTTTAGCTTTTACATTTAGGTCTATGATCCATTTCACATTAATACTTCATGCGCTGTAAAGTAAGAATTGGGTTTTTGTTTGTTTACATGTGGATATTCTTTTCTTTTTGACAGGGTCTTGCTCTGTCACTCTGGCTAGAGTACAGTGGCATCATCATAGCTCACTGCAGTGTCAAACTCCTACGCCCAAGTGATCCTCCTGCCTCAGCCCTCCAAATAGCTGGGACTACAGGCATACGCCACCACACCCGACTACTTTTTCTGTTTTTTGTAGAAATGAGGTCTCATTCTTGCTCAGGCTGGTCTTGAACTCCTGACCTCGAGCAATCCTCCCGCCTTGGGCTTCCCAGAGTGCAAGGATTACAGATTCGAGCGACCACACCCAACCTAGACATTCAATTATTTCAGTATCATTTGTTGAAAAAAAATTATCCATTCCTCATTGAATTTCCTAGGAAACTTGGTCAAAAAATTAATTAGCTATAATTCTGTGGACCTATTTCTTTCATTTTATGGGTTGTTTCTTCACTCTTTTGATAGTGTCTTTTTTTTAACACTAAGCCATAGTTATGGATTGATAGTGCCCTTTGATGCATAAAAGTTTTAAATTTTGATGAAGTCCAATTTATTTATTTACTCTTTTCTTGTTTGTGGTTTGGTGTCTAAGAAAAACCACTATCAAATCCAGGGTCATGAAGATTTATTCCTCTGTTTTTTTATAAGAGTATTATGGGTTTAGCTCTATATTTAGGACTTTGACCCATTTTGAGTTAATTTTTATCTATGTGAGGGTCCAACTTCATTCTTTTGCACGTGACTGCCCAGTTGTTCTAGCACAATGTGTTAAACATATTGCTTTTCCCTCCCTGAATGGTATTGATGCCTTTGTTGAAAATCAATTGACCACGGATGCATGAGTTTATTTCTTAACTCTCAATTCTATTCCACTGGTCTATCCTTATGCCACTGTCACACTGTTTTGATTTCTGTAGCTTTGTAGTAAGTTTTGAAATTGGAAGTGTAATACCTTCAACTTAGTTATTTTTCAGAATTGTTTTGGCTTTTTGGAGTCCCTTGCAAGTTCATATGAATTTTAGAATTAGCTTTCCATTTTTGCAAAAAAAAGGCCATTGGGATTTTAATAGGAATTGCATTAAATCTGTAGATTTCTCTGGGTACTATTGCCATCTTAACAGTATTAAGTCTTCTAGTCCATGAACACAAGATGTTTTTCTACATGTGTCTTCTTTACTTTCTCTCAGCAATATATTGTAATTTTCAGTGTATAGATCTTGAACATTGTATATTAAATTTATCAATTAAGGAGTTCAGGGTTTTGATGCTATTGTAAATAATTTTTAAATTTAAAATTTTTGAGTTTGTTGCTATAATAGTGTGTAGAAATACAATAATTTTTTGTATATTGACCTTATATACTATGAACTTGCCAAACTCATTTATTCTAATACCTTCTTTTTTAGATTCTTCAAGATTTTCTACATAATGATATCATATGTGAATAAAAAGAATTTTATTCTTGTCTTCACTCTAATTTTCTTTAATTTGTTTTTTGCCTTACTGAATTGTCTAGGACCTATATATAGTACAATGTCCAGTAGAAGTGGCTAGGGTGAGCATCCTTGCCTTATTCTTGTTCTCAGGGGAAAATCATTCAATCTTATAGCATTCAGCATGATGTTAGCTGTAGGTTTATCATAGATGCCCTTTACTAGGTTGAGGAAGCTGCTTTCTATTCCTAGCTTAAATTTACTAGCAAAAATTTGTTTGTAATACCACCTTATGATCCTTTTAATGTCTGTAGGATCTGTAATAATGTCTTCTCTCTCATTCCTGATATTGATAACTTGTGTCTTCTCTCTCTCTCTGACCTTATATATTTGGCTAGAAGTTTATCAGTTTTATTGCTTCTGTCAAAGAACCAGTTTTTTTTGTTTGTTTCTTTTTGGTGTTTTTTTTTTTTTTTTTGAGACAGAATCTCACTCTGTTGCCCAGGCTAGAGTGAGTGCCATGGTGTCAGCCTAGCTCACAGCAACCTCAAACTCCTGAGCTCAAGCAATCCTCCTGCCTCAGCCTCCCAAGTAGCTGGGACTACAGGCATGTGCCACCATGCCCGGCTAATTTTTTCTATGTATTTTTAGTTGTGCAGCTAATTTCTTTCTATTTGTTTTAGTAGAGATGGGGTCTCACTCTTGCTCATTCTGGTCTTGAAATCCTGATCTTGAGCAATCCTCCCGCCTTGGCCTCCCAGAGTGCTAGGATTATAGCTAGCTGTGAGCCACCACGCCCAGCCTGTAATATCTGAATAAAAATTATTGGCCTGTTAGAAATTGTTGCCAGTATCTAAAAGCAAAACAGAACAAATGAAAAGGTGAGTTTCCCTCCTTGGAGAGCAGATGGGAGTAGGTGGAGGAAGAAAAGCCCTATCCTCCCTGTGCTCTCCCCATAGCCAATTGTTAGTCTCTTTATTGTGCCTAAATCCCTCTGTCCTTACTTGACTGGGAGATGCTAATTCTTAACTGTGATAAGGTGGGTACAGTGACAATAGCTTAAGTCATTGCGCCCTTGTGAAAACTGTTTTCTCCCACAAGGCTATCTGGGAATTTCAAGCCCTAATTTTCAATATTGTCTTAATGTATGTGTGCAGAGCAAACATGCCCCAAATTAGGCAAGTGACCTTTTAATTACAAACTCTAAAGCTCCATATAAAACTAAGCGTGCCAGGTAGCAGTGGCTCCCGCCTATAATCTTAGCATTCTGGGAGGCCAAGTTAGGAGGATCTCTTGAGCTCAGAAGTTCAAGACCATCCTGAGCAAGCGCAAGATCCTGTCTCTACAAAAGATAGAAA